TCTTCAAACCTTATGATGCACTTCTCAGAAGAGATAAACCATTGTTTTGTTTGTTTTTTAAATCTTATTAATTTTCATGAACATTTACAGAGATTTTATATTTACATTCACTCATTGTTGCACTTTTTTCTTTACCCCCTTCTCTCCCCCCCCAGTTCGCTCCTCTCTTTGAAAAGCAAAACATATACTTCGTTACACAATCCCCCCCACCCCTGCCCCTGCCCCAAATGCACTCCACTATGCAACCTTAATTCTGGTCCATTGTTTTTGTAACTTCATCTGACTCGTCTGTGAACTCTCAGAAAACATGAACAGTTGTCCTGAATTTCAGTGTTGAGCAACAAAACACAAAAGAGTACATTTATGTGACAGCAAAAACTAAAGTATGCTGTTAGAAGTCAGGATCATAGTTACCCTTGAGGGCAGGATGATGGGATTGTGATTAGAAGACGCTCCCCAAATTGCTTCTTTTACTGAGTCCTGGGTACATGATATGTATTGTTTGTGAAAATATCTTGAGCTTTACTACTGACCAGATACTGTACTCTTTTTCTGCGTTGAATATGGTACTTCATTTAAAATTGAAAGTCTTTATTCATATTTGTGTGTCTTGCAGCACGTTGATGCTCTAAATAAAATCTTTAGGGTGTCAGATGATGTAAAGTTATTTCTCTGGATACTGGGAAATAATTTCCCACAGGTAGCGTCCGATTTATATGTGCAAAACTTTCAATATTTCTTTTTCATTATTCTAGTAAATTGTGTCTTAAATGGATTTGGAGTAAATGTTTCTGGAATAAATAATTGTCATGTTAGTTCAGCAAACATTTAGTAGCAATTTCTTGTGACTAAGTGCTAGGACTGTAAGCTGTGTACAATAATTATGATGCCATTTCTCCCCTCAAGAAATGTGCAGTTTACCAGGTTAAAGTACACGCATGATTAGACAGTAAGGCTTATAAGGTAAAAATTACACCAGGAGGGGACTCACGCCTTAGAATAATCAACCCTACAAAATCAAAAGGACATTATTTTCCCTTTATTTTGACAGTACATGGGGATGCTCAGTTCTCTTCTCGAGCATGTCAGCTCAGTGGCATCTATTCTGTCATTCTTATTCATTGTCCAACTTTCAGATTCATAAGAACTAATTGAAAAACTATGGCTTGGATCAGGAACACCTTAGTTTTTAAGTGACATCCTTGCTCCTTACTTGACAGCAAGTTTTCCCAGTTTCAATACTTCTTTTGATTTCTTGATTGCCAATACTAAGGGTGTTAATTGTACATCCAAGTAAGACAAAATCATTGAGAACATCAGTCTTTTT